GCCTCGGCCTCACTCACCGGCGACCCTCCATCCTCAGCTTCCCAGAGCTCAGACCGGCCTCCACCTCCCAGCCTCAACCCGCCTGCCCATCCTCCTTCCTCAGCCTCCCAGAGCTCAAACCGGCCTCCAACTCCCAGCCTCGGCCTCACCTGCCCTTGGTCCTCCTTCCTGGGCCTCCCAGCGTGCAGGACGGCCCACCCACCTGCAGGCAGGGCGAGGCCCGGCCCTGCGGCCGGCGGCCGTGGAGCGAGTCGAGCAGCCACTGCAGCCTCAACCCACCCGCCCGCTGGGGATCCTCCCTCCCGGGCCTCACTCTCGCTCCGGCTGCTGGCCTCAGCCTCCCAGCCTCGACCCCTGGCGATCCTCCCTCCTCAGCCTCCCAGAGCTCAGACTGGCCTCCACCTCCCAGCCTCAACCCACCTGCCCATCCTCCCTCCTCAGCCTCCCAGAGCTCAGACTGGCCTCCACCTCCCAGCCTCAATCCGCCTGCCCATCCTCCCTTCTCAGCCTCCCAGACCTCAGACTGGCCTCCAACTCCCAGCCTCGACCCCTGGCGATCCTCCCTCCTCAGCCTACCAGAGCTCAGACTGGCCTCCAACTCCCAGCCTCGACCCACCGACCACCGGTGATCCTCCCTCCCGGGCCTCACTCTCGCTCCGGCTGCTGACCTCCGCCTCCCGGCCTCGACCCGCCTGCCCATCCTCCCTCCTCAGCCTCCCAGAGCTCAGACCGGCCTCCGACTCCCAACCTCGACCTCACCCGCCCGCGATCCTCCCTCCCGGGCCTCCCATCTTGCAGGGCGGCCCACCCACCTGCAGGCAGGGCGAGGCCCGGCCCTGCTGCCGGCGGCCGTGCAGCGTGTCGAGCAGCCACTGCAGCCTCAACCCGCCCGCCCGCTGGGGATCCTCCCTCCTCAGCCTCCCAGAGCTCAGGCCCGCCTCCGACTCCCACCCTCAACCCGCCTGCCCATCCTCCCTCCTCAGCCTCCCAGAGCTCAGACTGGCCTCCAACTCCCACCCTCAACCTGCCTGCCCATCCTCCCTCCTCAGCCTCCCAGAGCTCAGACTGGCCTCCAACTCCCAGCCTCAACCCCTGGCAATCCTCCCTCCTCAGCCTCCCAGAGCTCACACTGGCCTCCAACTTCCAGCCTCAACCCACCTGCCCATCCTCCTTCCTCAGCCTCCCAGAGCTCAAACCGGCCTCCAACTCCCAGCCTCGGCCTCACCTGCCCTTGGTCCTCCTTCCTGGGCCTCAGCCTCCCAGAGCTCAGACCGGCCTCCGACTCCCAGCCTCAACCCGCCTGCCCATCCTCCTTCCTCAGCCTCCCAGAGCTCAAACCGGCCTCCAACTCCCAGCCTCGGCCTCACCTGCCCTTGGTCCTCCTTCCTGGGCCTCCCAGCGTGCAGGACGGCCCACCCACCTGCAGGCAGAGCGAGGCCCGGCCCTGCAGCCGGCGGCCGTGGAGCGAGTCGAGCAGCCACTGCAGCCTCAACCCGCCCGCCCTCTGGGGATCCTCCCTCCTCAGCCTCCCAGAGCTCAGGCCGGCCTCCGACTCCCAGCCTCAACCCGCCTGCCCATCCTCCCTCCTCAGCCTTCCAGAGCTCAGACTGGCCTCCGACTCCCAGCCTCAACCCGCCTGGCGATCCTCCCTCCTCAGCCTCCCAGAGCTCAAACCAGCCTCCAACTCCCAGCCTCGACCCCTGGCGATCCTCCCTCCTTAGCCTCCCAGAGCTCAAGACCGGCCTCCGACTCCCAGCCTCGACCCACCTGCCCATCCTCCCTCCTCAGCCTCCCAGAGCTCAGACCGGCCTCCGACTCCCAACCTTGACCTCACCTGCCCTCAATCCTCCCTCCCGGGCCTCCCATCTTGCAGGGCGGCCCACCCACCTGCAGGCAGGGCGAGGCCCGGCCCTGCTGCCGGCGGCCGGCCGTGCAGCGAGTCGAGCAGCCACTGCAGCCTCAACCAGCCCGCCCGCTGGGGATCCTCCCTCCTCAGCCTCCCAGAGCTCAGACCGGCCTCCGACTCCCAGCCTCAACCCGCCTGCCCATCCTCCCTCCTCAGCCTCCCAGAGCTCAGACCGGCCTCCGACTCCCAGCCCCGGCCTCACCCGCCCTCGGTCCTCCGTCCCGGGCCTCCCACCTGCAGGCAGGGCGAGGCCCGGCCCTGCTGCCGGCGGCCGTGCAGCGAGTCGAGCAGCCACTGCAGCTGGGCGCTGTCGCGGGGGCTGCGGCTCGACACGATGCCGAACACGAGCACCTGCGCGGGGTCCCGCGGCGCCGCCAGGAAGCGCTCGAGCTCCACGTCCGACACGAGCGGCGCCCGCAGCGCGCAGCGGCAGCCTCCACGCGCGTCCTCGCGCCGCAGCAGCCTCCGCAGCACCAGCGGGCAGTCGGCCGCCGGGCCTCCACCGCCGGCCGGGCCTCCACCACCGGCCGGGCCTCCAGCACCCGCCGGGCCTCCGCGGCCGGCCTTCGCCCTGCAGGGGGGGGACACAGAGAGAGAGAGAGAGAGGGAGCTCTGGGGAGGCGCGTCGGGGAGAGGCCCGGCCTCCGCCGCCGGCCTCCGCGCTGCAAAATGGGTAGAGGCTCCGACGGCCTCCACCGCCGGGCTTCGACTCTGCGAAATGGGTAGAGGCCCAGCCAGCCTCCACTGCGGGCCTTCAGTCTGCAAAATGGGTAGAGGCCCCGACAGCCTCCACCGCCGGGCTTCGACTCTGCGAAATGGATAGAGGCCCCATTAGCCTCCACCACAGGCCTCCACTCTGAAAAATGGAGAGAGGCCCCGCCGGCCTCCACCGCCGGGCTTCGACTCTGCAAAATGGGTAGAGGCCCAGCCAGCCTCCACTGCGGGCCTTCAGTCTGCAAAATGGGTAGAGGCCCAGCCAGCCTCCACCGCTGGCCTTCACTCTGCAAAATGGGTAGAGGCCCAGCCAGCCTCCACTGCTGGCCTTCAGTCTGCAAAATGGGTAGAGGCCCTACCAGCCTCCACCACAGGCCTCCACTCTGCAAAATGGGTAGAGGCCCCGCCAGCCTCCACCACCAGCCTCCCCGAGGTCTGAGCTACTCTGCGTGACCCCGCCTGCCCTCTCTGGGCTCAAACAGACCCCGAATGTGAGCGCCGCCCCCCCCCGCACGGTCTCGGCCTCCGGTCTCAGCCTCCCTCCCGTCTCGCCTGGACGCCCGCGAGTGTCTCCTAAGGGTCCCATGTGGCGGCCTCGCGTCCCGGCCTCTATTTCTGTTTCGTCCCCCGACCCTGAGAGTCTCATATCTGTCCATGTCTCGCCCTGCGTGCCCTCCCCGTCCCAGAACCGCGGGGGAAACTGAGGCAGAGGGGGAGACGAGAGGGCACACGCGAAACCCCAGAACTGCGGGGGAAACTGAGGCAGAGAGTGGGCAGGTGCGAAATCCCAGAACCGCAAGGGAAACTGAGGCAGAGAGGGAGGACGGGGGGGCACATGGGAAAACCCAGACCCGTGGGGGAAACTGAGGCAGAGAGGGGGACGAGGGGGCACGCGCGAAACCCTGGAACCACGGGGGGAAACTGAGGCCGAGAGTGGGCACGCGGGAAGACCCCGGGACTGCGGGGGTAAACTGAGGCAGAGACAACTTCCGGGTCTGTGACTCTACTTACCCAAACGCGAAAAATATCCACCCCCCGCCCCGCCCCCCACCCCCGTGCTGGGCCCGCCCGAGTCGTGAAACCCACCGACAGGACCGGAAATAGCCAGGCCTCCAGGTAGAGGCTGGCCTCCAACTCCCAGCCTCGGCCTCACCCGCCCGCCGGCGATCCTCCCTCCCGGGCCTCACTCTCGCTCCGGCTGCTGGCCTCACTCCTCTGGCCTCGACCCCTGGGGATCCTCCCTCCTCAGCCTCCCAGAGCTCAGGCCCGCCTCCGACTCCCAGCCTCAACCTGCCTACCCATCCTCCCTCCTCAGCCTCCCAGAGCTCAGACCGGCCTCCACCTCCCAGCCTCAACCTGCCTACCCATCCTCCCTCCTCAGCCTCCCAGAGCTCAGGCCGGCCTCCAACTCCCAGCCTCGACCCACCTGCCCATCCTCCCTCCTCAGCCTCCCAGAGCTCAGACCGGCCTCCGACTCCCAACCTCAACCTCACCTGCCCTCAGTCCTCCCTCCCGGGCCTCCCATCTTGCAGGGCGGCCCACCCACCTGCAGGCAGGGCGAGGCCCGGCCCTGCTGCCGGCGGCCGGCCGTGCAGCGA